TTATCAAATATTGTCCAGCCGCCTAATATCCAAACATTCTAAAACATCAGCATTACGAGAAAAAAAAAAAAAACATGATCATGACTTTTTTTTGGTCTTTTTGTCTAAAAGCAGATGATATTTTCTCCAACATATTTAAATAATTAACACAGACAATATCAGTTGGATAATTAGAAAGCTTGTACAACAAAATGTTTGGAAATCACCCCACCAATGCACTTCTCACATTTTATTTATTCATTTATTTATGTGTCTGTTTATTTATTATTTATTTATTCATTTTAATGTGGGAGAGGAGGGAAAACTATCTCTGTAGCACGGATTTCTGGAACATACCCCTGTGATGAATGTTGGTTCACTGCATGTTTTTTTAAAGAAATGAGTTCACGATAACATCCCTGCTCATTCAAAATTATTTAAAATATTACCATCTGGCAGACATACAGGTCATAAATCACATGCAGGATGTTTTCAACAAAGATAAAATGTCCCACATGAGCGTGTTTGCATGTGTGTGCGCGTGTGTCCAAGTGTGTATGTGTGCGTGCGTTCGTGTGTGTGTGTGCGTGTGTGTTTGGGGGTCTAAAACGTGCGTGCGTGCGTGCGTGCGTGCGTGCGTGCGTGCGTGCGTGCGTGCGTGCGTGCGTGCGTGCGTGCGTGCGTGTGTGCGTGCGTGCGTGTGTGTATTTGAATACATTTTCCCGCTTTCCCTGGTGGTGCTGGGCTGTTTGGCAGGATAAATATAGCTGCGGCGTCGGTGTAAAGCTGTTTTCTCCTCAGCTTTTGTAGCTTTAATCAAAAGCAATCTGGAGGAGGGAGAAGTGAAAGAGAAGCGGGTGAGAGAGAGGGGTGGTGGGTGTGGCAGACGGCAGAGTGTTTTATTTTAGCTCTCTTTAAATCGTCATTGGGGAGTGTTCAGGAGTAATGAGAACCCCGGTGGCTGGAGAAGACGGACTGACTCTAACCTCCCATCTCCCCCCTCCTCCTCCTCCATCCTCTGTGTGTTTGTAGTTCATGGCCAGCCACACTTCCTCCGTCAGTGAATCTGATATAAACGCGGGCTTCTGACTACAACTACGCTCATGCTGCAGGGCTTTTATGCACCACTTCCTCTTTTAAACAATGATTCATCATATCTATTCTGGGATGGAATCACATATCCTTCGTCAGTATCAACTAACAATGCTGTGACTAATAGTTATTGATCTGTCACCATTTGTTTTCTGAATGAATTAAGTGATCTACGCTGTATAATGCCAAACAATGAAACATGCTCCTCACAGACCCTCAAAGCTGATATATTTCAACCTGCAATTCACTGCTGTAGGTCATACTGTATGCAAGTGGATTAGATGTACTACACAATGGCAGGCAAGTCAACTTGTAACTTGAAAAAAACAATTTTCAGACCATAACAGACAAGGAGCCATCTATCTTCATTTTGCTTAATGTTGTCACACATGTACAAAGCGTATGTCTTCGTGAGACCAGTACTTGTCTTCATAACTCTTTTCTGACTCCGTTTGACTCCCAAACTGCAACAGCAGACAAGTGTTTAACTGTGACACGATGCAGAAAACGATGGCTTTCCTGTCGATCCAAATGAGGGTAGGCTGACCCTATAATGCTCCAACCAAGTGTAATTGTGCAAAAGAATAATTTTCACCACCCGGTATGACCTCGAGGGGAGCGAATGCCAAAAGGCAGTCATAACCAATGAGGATTACCACCCTGCTATCTTGAAGTCAAGTCAAGTCAGCTTTATTGTCAAATATGCTCTATGTGCAACATACAGCACAGATGAAATTTCTTTCCTCTCAACCACAGTGAAACCACAGGAGAGAGAGGAGCCGCTGCGGGTACCCGCGCCGCCATCAACAGAACAGTTAACATAAAATGACAAAATAATACAACACAACACATAAAACACAGACAATCGTGCAATTTTAACCACTTTTTTTGCATACACTTTGTTGTTTGAAGCAGTTATAGATGAAAGAGGAGAGAATCAAAGTGTCCTTTTACCCATGGATCAGAGACGTCATGTTGAAAATGTGCACAAGCTAAGTTTGAAAACAAACAAGAAGCTGTAGCGTCCATTGACGAAAAAAGAGATTGGCTCACATCTCCTGTCCCATGTAAATCCGCTTCAATTCCAAGCAGCAACTCCCAGTTACACATCGCCGCTCCTTTCTTCTTATCGTCGGCTCCATAAGCCATCCATCCATCCAGCCGCAGTGGTGGCAATTTTTTTCGCGAGATTACTAAGGTGAGGCCACTTAACTTCTGCGATTTTTGTTGCAATGCAGGTTCTGTCAGCTGGTATAAAGTCACGTATGAGCCTGCTCTATTTTAGTGTCCTTTTCAGAGTTAAACCCTCAAACCTCAAGACTGCTGACAGTTTTACTGGTTATTACTGTATTCCGAACTGTCATTGTACATACTTCATTGAAGATGCACTTGCTGAGTATCTACACTTAATTCTGAAACTAAATCTTTCAGGATAAAATTTGAGTCACTATGAGAGTCAAGGAGCGCATAGGTTAGTACTTTCCTTTGAGTCTGTGTTGTGAATTACAGAAGGACTGGAATGATGCCGGATTTGGATGTGGCAGAAGCACAAAACAGAGCATGGGACAAATTGCTCATTGTTAATCACATCGACGGGTTTTATTTTCTGGATGCAGGTAGGTGGGTTGTGTCCAGCACAGGAGCTTCTGCAGTATTTGGTGATGTGCATCCAAAGCAGAAACAATGTTCATGAATGAAAGCTCTTTTCTCATCCATAGATTTTGTTAAAAAGAGTGAGCATTTAGAAATACCTTGTGCCTCATTCCTGCAGCCCAAACCAGGTGACTTTAGCTTTGAGTACAACGTTGCTGAGTCGAAGGCCTTTATTCAAGTGCTTGTATTGAGTGTTTTGCCTCTCTTTGTTGACCTTTTGTCAGTTGGTTTTCATTCATCATTAAAAGGAAGGGGGGGGGGGTGATGGGAACACAAACAACTCTGGCTGTCTTATTTCCTTATGCATGAATTTGTTAAAATTTAAAAATCTTAGATACTCGCCAAATTGATCCAACTCTCCAAAAACAGACATTTTGTTCAGTATTTTGATATTTTCCATTGAGGATAGACAAGCTTTGACGTGGGGTACTGCCCCTGAACAACCCAAGTGAAAATTTGCAAACTCTCTTAATGCTCTTGGATCATTAGCAGCTATCCTGGGCCATTTAACAAGTCTCCCTCTAAAAGCCCCCTGGACAGTAAAGGGACTACCATAACGATCTTCGAAAACAGTCCAGGCACCATTATATGCATTTTCTGTGTTACAGTAAAGGAAACCATCCACAGCCTTGTGTGGCTCTCCTGCTACATAAATCTCCAGATAAAAGCATTTTCTCATTTACGGGGAGGGGCTTCTGACCAATCAATCCATCCATGCATCCATATCTGAACTGCTTCTCATTACGTGGGTCACGGGCATACTGGAACCTCTCCCAGCTGTCTTTGGGCAGTAGACAGGGTACATCCTGAATTGTGTGGACTTTGCATGTTCTCCCCATGACTGTGTGTGTTTTCTGCAGGTGCTCCAGATTCCTTCAACATACCAAAAACCTGCTTTGGTTGATTGAACGCTCTAAATTATCCCACGGTGTGATTGTGAGGGTGAATGGTTGCAGAACACCTTGTTATTGACACACACTGTTTACTTTGAGGCCTGCATTGCACTTTGTCATGTACAATATAATTTCAACAGAATCAGTGTGTGCAACACTCGCACTACAAAATTTTGGTTAATTGAACGCAGTTATAAGGCAGTACGGTGGTCAACTGGTTAGCAAGTCTACCTCACGGTGCAGAGGTGCAGGGTTCGATTCCGGCTCTGGCCTACCTGTGTGGAGTTTGTATGTTCTGCCCATGCCTGCGTGGGTTTTGTCCGGGTACGGCGGTTTCATCCAACATAATGTAGCCTCTGCCGACATTATACAGAGGGAAATTTTCTACTGATATTGATCATGAGTCTATCACTAGGGATGAAAATGTTTTGTTGGCAGCGATTCTGGGGATTTGCCCCAAGTGCCCTATCTCAAGATGCTAAAGTCACCATTTTCCAGAGACCCTGTCCAGGATAGGAACCATAGCTAGCAAACAGATGGATGCGTCCATGTTATGTTTTGGTTACTAAACTAGTGTGGGAAGCACAGGTTATTCAGAGTAACAAACAAAATCCGCTTTTACATTGGTGTGTAGTCGTTTTGCATACTGGATGTAGGAGGAAGCAATGATAGGAGACAATATTTTGTGACAAGGTGATAATCCAATCATTATTCAATTGTCTTTATTTCTTTCTTTTGGAAACCAAAGCCACTCAACTGCTGCAGCCAAACTGCTTCCTGGTACTGTGCATGTTGTCTCATCGGCTGTCGTGCCGATCTCCAGGAAGTGCAATATTACATTTCCTATTTGTCGTTCAGAGCAGGGGTGTCAAACTCCTTTTTGTCGCGGGCCACTTTGGAGTTACGTCTTCCCTTGGTGGGCCATTATGACAATGAAACCACAAAAACGTTTAATCGTCTTATCGCATTTTGACTTGTACACAACAAATTGATGGATTCCTAGTTTTAAAATCAGTCAACTATAATAGTTTGTTCAATTATTGTTCAAATGAGTGTAAACTGGGTAACACTATTATTACAAAATCTCAACGTTATTTATGACATGTGACAATTTGACATTTTGATACAGATTTTAGCAAGGATCATGCAAGTTGACACACATGGTTTCACGACCCACATAAAATGATGCGGCGGGCCGGATTTGGCCCCCAGGCTTTGAGTTTGACACCTGTTGTTTCGAGGAACTGGAGGTTTCATGATTGGTGGTACAATGAGAGTTCACTAATGACATTTATTTTTGCAAAATTACATATACATTGAATGTATTAAAAAAATGTTAAGTCGCTATTTCTGTGTAATCTCTGAATTTGATTATTTTTATAGGTCATCTGGGTGTGTAATAACTGCAGAAAACAACAGGAAATACTGACCAAGCCAGGCGAATGGTTCACCGGTCCATCAGGAAAGTCCACTAGTCTCGGTTCAGCCATCAGTGAGCCATCTGTGTGCCAAACCCTTGGCGAAAAAAAGCTGCGATCCCACTCCCAAGCCCCTCCAGGCTCCACAACATCCTTAGAGCCCAACCCAGCCAGTGCACCTGGGAGCACAGCTGGAATAGACGTCCGGTCACGAAGTGAACCACCAAGAGACACGTACGTTTTGCAAACAAACTGTATTTAAAACCAATAACAATGCCACAAGTCACTTGAGAATCATTTAAAACTTTAACAGGAACAGCACTTCTATTTTTTTGATTTATATTTTTCTTTCTCTCCTGTCAAATAAGGATTGGATTTGACATACAGTATACTTGAGCTTTGCATCTTTCCTATAAAAGATCATTTAATATGTATCTTGATACATGAGATGCATTCCGACTAAAGGAGGGTTTAAAGTGGAACAATTCGATTCGGTGCGAATTTCTCCATTGTGAGAGAAATAAAGGTTTTGTTATCTTATCTTATGATGATTCGAATCAAAAAGATATGGCTCAGTTCAAGAGTGTGTAAAATGCAAGGAATTTCTTGATGTCAAGTTATAAAATGAATGAACTTGCACGGGTCCAAGATGAACATTTTTACGAGGAATGCAAGGGCAGCAACTAAGAAATTTGGGGCGTACACTGCAGGTCGACTTGCAAAGTAAATATTTACTCCACTCATTTTCACTATATTACTAATACTGTAAATGAATGACTGAATTGAGGAGCGGACGTTTGTCATCAACAATAATTAATAAATATTCAAGAATAGTAAATGATTTTTTTCTTAAAATACGCAAATTTGTTGGTTGCACAGGTACAAGCAAATGTACTGTTTCAAATTTGAGGAGCAAAATGTCACCAATTACGGGCCGTCAGGAGCCCTGACTTGTCAGTACTGTAAATTCCTATGTTAACATGCAGTCAGTAACCCTTTTAAAACCTGAATACTGGCAATATTTGGGTTTTTAAAGGCCATGTAATCGCTCGCAAAAACACAAATATGCTCTTATTCAGGTTTTTAAAATCCTACTGCTGACTGGTTTCTCAATATTCGTGACTGATCAATCCTCGTGTCTAAAAAAAAGACTAAGTCTAGTGCAGAGATAATAGTTAGATATGAGTCTATCCAAACACCAAAAATGCTTTTGTGTTCATGGTTTTGTTCTCTTGGTCTCCATTCATATATTTATTCCACTAGGAGAAATGGAAAAGGCGGTGGAGGAACTGGTCGGGGAGAGCGTAGGTCAGTCCAACCCATGCTGCAGACCCAGGTTTCCATGGACCGGGATCTCAGGGGTGAATCCAGGGAGCATCGGGAAAGCCGGCGGCTCACAAAAGGGCGTTCTTTGGAGATTGATCCAGTCGGAGGAAGTAGTGGGTTGAAAAGGACACAAGACGGGGGCTACCAACACATTGGCCACAGCGGTGGCCCCCCTCGTCAAACAGGGCCAGTCACTTCTGGAGGCCCCGGCCATCCTGCACCAGTACAAGGCAGTGCAACAGGAATTATTGGGGAGGTGAGGGATGGATTAGTATCTGGACAGAGGACTGTCGGTGGACAGTGTGAACACACCCCTGCGCAACAAGACCACCCACCTCAACTCAGAGAAGCTCTGAGTTCAGGAACTGGATCAGCCCCTGATCAAGGGCATGTAGTGAGACGAACCAAAAGGAACAAGGCTGACAGCATGCTCCGCAACGATTCACTCAGCTCAGATCAATCGGAATCTTTGCGCCCACCACCACCCAGACCCTATAAATCGAAGCGAGGGCTAGGGGCTGGAGGCAAGAGACAGACCAGTGTCAGCAGCTCAGAAGAGGAAGGAGGGACCACACCTGAATACAGCAGTTGTGAGGATGCTGAGATTGAAAGTGTGAGCGAAAGAGGTGAGGCTTCTTAATCTTTGCCATTTTCCATCCATTACATGAAATATGTGTCAGAGTCAGAGTAGTGTCACCTAATGTAGACTGCCATGTGTGTGACACCCAGAAGTGAGACCACGTCTATGATTGAAATGACAATTAAACCACTGCAAACAACATTTTCAGAAAATAATAAGTAATAATTATTTTTGAGTCACGGTATAAGGACAAGTCTTTCAAACCACTCTCCATTACTTCTTGCTAAAATGCCCGAAGCTTTGGTGGCCAATTAATAAACAGTACTTGAAAGAAAGTTCTTTCACAATTCTGTTTAGTTGATCGAACTCAGTGACAATTAAATCTATCTTAAAGGGGCCATATCATGCAGTTTTAAGCTTTCAACAGTTAACTGGAGGCATGCACATTATTATATATTACCTAGATAATTGCTTATGAAATATGAGTTATTTTGGTGTATATTTTTCTAACCTGGAATTAAGGTGCCTGGTTCACTAAAACCTCGCTTCTCCACGTGTGGCTGCCGCAACACTTTCATGACATTGTCCTAAAGCTGGTTGCTCCACACACCACACATGAAACAGGAATGAACAGTTGCTAGCAATAGGCAGACTGGTGCCGCTTTTCCATTAGTACCAAACAGTCCCACAACACACACGACTCCACTTGGCCCAGCACCTCATGGCACAGCCTCCGTTGCTTTTACAACAGGCACACCAGATGGTGACACTCACAGCGTGTAGGGTTCTGCCATAACATTTCACGTGGTGAGTCTCAGCCACTAAAATATGAATTGCCTTTGTACAATGTGACCACGTTGCAAAGTACAGCCCATCAAATGCACAGGAGGAGCTTTCACATGTAGACGAAAACTCTATTTCTGGGTTTCAGAGAGCGCGGCACAGCCACCTCCTGCCAAGACAAAAATACAGTTTATACAGTCTACATATTTTGGGGAACCATGTTTACAATTTCTAATGCACCAACGGAGTCGCTGATGGTGTCGTGGTACACTTGTCTGACTTGTGTGCGGGCAGCGTGGGATCGTTTCCCACTCAGTGATGGTGTGGGTGTGGGTGTGAATGGGTGTTTGTCTCAATATGTGCCCTGTGACTGACTGGCGACCAGTTCAGGGTGTAGTCTGCCTTCCGCTTGAAGTCAGCTGGGGTAGGCTCCAGCAACTCCGTGCGACCCTGTTCAGGATAAGTGGTGTTGAAAATGGATGAATGGATGGATTGATGCACCAAGGGTAAAGTACTGCGATCGTGATTTAGCGATCGGCTCACAAAGCTTGCCGCCAACTTTCCATCATTCTGAATGGAGGACACACTGTCATTCGTTTGGCCACCCCTTGGAGTCAACGGCTCATCGCTGCCATCCCCAAGGCGGGAGCCACAACCGACTGGCCGTAGAAGCGGCAATGTTCCGCTCTGGTGGCTGTAGACCTCATTCAAGTGAATGGGACCCAGTGTGTGAAAGACTTCCCGAAATCCGGTGCAAAAATGAAAGTGTTTCATTGGTGGCTCCTCTGAAAAAATGGGCGTGTGTTTAGTCTGAAGGGCGGGATGGGGAAGGCTCCTCACTTTGTGATGAATAAGGCCGGATACACACATAAAGACGATTGAGCTGTTTTTGACCTGATTTCGCCCTTTCCCAAACAAGGACGTCAAACGCACGACAATCGTACGTCCTATAAGACTTATCTCAGTCTTATCACATGATCCTTATGTGTGAAGTGTCTTAAGAGTGGATTTGTCCGGATAATTGGGTCCAAAACCAGTCGAGGCCAACAATCTTAAAAAAACGACTGTGTTCAATATTTACGAGCAAAAAAAAAAAAAAAAAAAATCTTCATTTGTGAGGGGGAAGCCGAGTTCTCCTGAACTAGTTAACTCTGACTGTGACAGCATGTAGCCAAAATAAGAAGCTCGCTGACTGACAAATGAAGATGTGCCGGTACATAAAAAAAAGAGTAATATCATATCATACCCCATGTTGATCTTGTCCATCATGTTTGTAGAAGAACTGCAGTGGTTACCACATTTGCTGGGTTTTTATACACAATGCATGCTTCAGGCCAGAGCCAGCAGCCTGACTGTCATAGTGACCGGTGTGTATGTTAACAAGTGTGTGTGAAACTGTGTTTGTTGTTTCGTGCGTGTCTAAATGCTTTGCTGAGTGTCATATTATATTGTTTTCAACTTGGCCCTAAGGGAGTGAGTTGGTGGTGACAGTTGCACTGAGAGCGTACTTTTGGATGCATGTTTGTGTGTTTATGACGGGTCCGTTTGACCCCGTTTCATTCCAGTGTTGACCTTGTGTGGCCTCACATAGCAAATGTTGTCCTCAAGCCCGAGAAGACACGGCTGTTTACGGTCTAACGTTGTTATTTCCAACTGGGGTGATGTCATCACTGCAAAGCATTCTTTGGAACTTAGAGCTCATTGCTGAGTATCGAGCAGCAATTGCACTAAATGAAACCGTGTCCATCCCTCCATCCATTTTCTAATCCGTCATGCTGGAGCCTATCCCAGCTGCCCTCGGGCAATAGGCGGGGTACATCCTGAACAGGTTGCCAGCTAATCGCAGGGCACACATAGGCGAACAACAATTCTCTCACACTCACACCTAGGAAATATTCAGAGTGTTTCATTAACCTGCCACGCATGTTTTTGGAATGTGGGAGGAAACCGGAGTACCCGAAGAAAACCCACACAGGCACAGGGAGAACATGCAAACTCCACATAGGAATGCCGGAGCTGGATTTGAACCATGCACCTCTGCACTGTGATGCAGACGTGCTAATCAGTCGATCACCGTGTCTCCCATGAAACCATAGCATGACTAATTTTATAACGCTTACAAGAATTGGAATCGTTGCTGTCCGTACAACCAAACAGTCACTTCTCAGAGAAAGGCTGAATTCTGTCTTTTAGGAATGCAATGCGTTGAGTTGTGTCATGGCTAATTGTAAGGACATCAACATTTTTACGATGAATTCCCCTCAGAAAATATCTCACATTCAGCATTTCAAAAACTGCTAAAATCATCATTGAGCTCCTCCCTACACTTAGATGAAGTCCTGTAAATACAAATCGTATTTATATACTTTTTTATTATTATTATATTTTTGTATGGCAAATACTGTACACATACTTCCTGTGTTTGTGTACTGTATTTAAAAAAAGAACAGATTGAAATACTACAAATCTAATGTTGTTTTTAAACCTTTACACAATGTTATAAGTCTTCATTAATGGCTTGTGAAACATACTCGCGTACTGCATCCGCTCACACACCTGTCCGTAAGGCGTAGTGACACCCCTTTTCCACTGTATATTCAAGAAAATATATTTTATATCAGGTTACAAACATTAACAGCGCCGACTTAACAAGTCGGCAATGTCTAACTTTTTGCGGAACATTCTGCAGAAGTCAAACTTGGACATACAACACCAAGCATTATTACAAGTGGCGGTGTAGTATGAGATGTCAGAGCAGGTTTTACTGTATACACTCCAGCAGGGCAGCAAGACACTGCTTCCTTTTTTAGCTTGATACTCAGAGAGGATCAATTATGAGATGTAGTTGCTGGCAGCCGAGAAGCATGCTGGCTTTTAAATCATTTGACTTTTGAAAATCAATGTGAGATCACAATGGAAACACTGACACAGACTCAAATATGCTGTCAGTCTTATATGTACAGTATAGCCCCTGCTATGTAAACACATCCTCTTAAAGATTATGAGGTCACACACTGAAAAATCAACATTGCATATATTTGTAACATGTATCTATGTTATTTTAAAATATGGAATTGAAATCCATCCACGGGGTCCTGACTCTGCATGGACAGGCCTTTTTCTGACTGCAAACATAACATTCTCAACCACATGGCCCAACACTGCATAGAATTACATTCATGCTTAAGTTATGAAACTGAGAACCTAGTTTGTTTTAAGATTACATAATGCCACTATAAGTTGTCACAACCTATTCTCCTCATTGGGTGCCTGCTCCTAGGGATGCTTGGTTCTGTTTTACTCTTATATTTTACTTTATGTCATAACAATGGCGTTGAAGGGCTGCACACATCTCAACAACGCCTCCCTGCACATGTTCTACAGAAGTGCAGCTGGAAGAATCCTTGAATAGTATTTTTCATCAGTCTGAAATACAGTACTGTGTTATATTGAACGGATAAAAATGTACCGGTATATTTTGTTCAGAGCTTCTCATACCAGTTGACAAAAATAATCAAGGATGCTTGAATCAGCGACAAATAGGGGAATGTCGAGGGAACCTTGCAAGTCTATCCTGACAGTGACAATATGATCTCTGTTTTCATATATATTGACATGTGAGCCCCACACCTTTCATGATTTTTTTCCCTAAACACGCAGTGAGGACATTAATGACAAGCAGTGGGCCTGTGCAGACTGGGGGCCCTTTTTTGTGCACAAGGGTGGCGTTTTCTTTCATTTGGCATTTTTCTGTACTTTGCACAGATAGAACTGGCTGGGTCATGACTGAAAAGAACGAGATCCCCGATACAAGTGGATGAAATAACGGTACCGGGGCTCTCCTTTAGAGATAAGATGAGAAGCTCGGTCATTCGGGAGGCACTCAGAGCTGAGCCGCCTCTTCCCCACCTCGAGAGGAGCCAGATGAGGTGGCTCGGGCATCTGATTAGGATGCATCCTGGACTGCTCACCGGTGAGGTGTTCCGGGCCTGTGAGGCCCCGGGAATGACCCAGGGCATGCTGGAGAGACTATGTCTCCCGGCTGGCCTGGGAAGACATTGGGATCCCCTGGGAAGAGCTGGAAGAAGGGGCTAGGGAGACAGAAGTCTGGGTGTCCCTGCAAAAGCTTTTACCCCTGCGACCTGACCCTGGATAAGCGGTAGAGAATGGATCGATGGATCAATGGATAAAATGGATGGATGGATGAATTCATTCAATTCATTTGCACCTTTTTGAGACAGAAATAGTCTTTTCCCGGCCAATCCTAGTAGCATCATTTCTTTGTATCAACATCAAAAGTATGCCGCCTTGACATTGTGGAAACAGAAATAAACTTGCTGGGATCCGTGAATGACATTGGCAAGTATCAACTGCAAGCTCTCCCCCTTGCAGTTCTTTGGTTATCCTTTAGGGGTCACCACAGCAACACCTATGAGCAAGGTGTCAAACATTAAATTGGTGGTGGTTTGCGTTTGCGCTTGAACTAGATCTTTGAGTCTGGTTCAGCAGGGGTCAACAAAAACAAAGTGGGCATCATGTGGTGTGTCCTTATTTGTTCCCAATTGGCAAGAAATACTTCGTAATTGCTTTTATATTAGTTCCACACAGTAAAGTAGGCCTGTAGACAGTCGTAAAGTGTGCAAAGGTGTCGTCACTTTAATCAATTTTCAACTTTTTGCAGGAGACTGGGAATGCTACCCTCATGACCCCACTGTGTGGCATGTAAGTATTTCTACACTCAATTCAACTTCATTTTTAAAGCAATATAACAACTACAGCTGTAACAAAGAGCTACATATAAAACATCAAAGACGACAATTAAAATAATAAAGATGCAATCATAGTTAACTAAATAAAATATTCTTATTTGATTAAAATGTATCAGAGCTTCTTTTACATTTCCATTTAGCATAAATACATTCCCTCCTTACTCATGTTGTGTGAAGCGGTTGGTAGATGAAACAGAGGTTCATGTTCAAGTCTCCAGTAACCATTAGGAGGCCACGGGGATCGCAGATTATATTCAAGACAGTGTACTGATACTTTAATCTCACGATCACGGTGGTCATGACATCATTCGCATTTTCTCCAAGATGCGTTTGACTGTAAGTTGAATTTGAATGTAAACAAGCAACTGGGTGTTTTCAGCTAACACCCGATAGCCCATCCGTTGGTACCAAAAAAAAAGTCATCCAATGGCGAGTGGTCGTCAGACGGCCGGCTCCATTCTGGGCAAAGCTCCTCGTGGATTTATCACTGGAGATAAAATGAATTTTAAATTCCTTTTCAAAGACAACACGAGCCGTGTACCAATAATTCACTTCAAGTTTTAAATAAGAGTGTACATTTTGTGTAATTCTACTTTGAAAAGGATACAACGTGGTATGATGCATCAGAAATATATCAATGTGTGTTGTCTATTCTTGTCATATTGCTGTTTGTTACTTTTTAATATATTTTAGTGTTACACTATGTGGCATGTCACAGTTCTAACTCTAATCAGCCCTTTTTTTTTTTTTCAGCATCCTGTAACGTGGCAACCATCCAAGGAGGGTGACCATCTGATTGGCAGAATCACTCTTAGTAAGAGGAGCACAACCATGCCTAAAGAAGCTGGGGCTATGCTGGGATTAAAGGTCATGGTGCAAACAAAGAATTATGCCTTACGCACATGCAAGATAAAAGATATGCCTTCACGAGCCTCGACAAAGGGCCTTTGTCTATTTCGTGTTCCTCATGGCATGCCTGCTTCTCTTTTTAGGTGGTTGGGGGTAGAATAACAGAGTCAGGGAGATTAGGTGCCTTCATCACCAAGGTCAAGAAGGGCAGCCTGGCAGATGTGGTTGGACACCTGAGAGCAGGTACACTGAACCGTTGAGTCCTCAAAAATACCGAAAGAGCCCAAACAATCATGTCCTCAGGACTTTATTTACAACCCAAATTCCAATGAAGTTGTGACGTTGTGTTTAACATAAATAAACACAAAATACAATGATTTGTAAATCATGTTCAACCTTATATTTACTTGAATACACGACAAAGACAAGATATTTAATGTTCAAACTGATAAACGTTATTGTTTTGAGCAAATATTTATTAATTTAGAATTTTATGGCTGCAACACGTGCCAAAAAAGCTGGCACAGGTGGTAAAAAAAGTCTGACAAAGTGGAGGAATGCTCATCAAACACCTGTTTGGAACGTCCCACAGGTGAACAGGCTAAATGGGAACAGGTGGGTGCCATGATTGGGTATGAAAGAAGCTTCCCTGAATTGCAAGCAAAGATGCGATGAGGTCTACCTTTTTGCGAAGTGCGTGGTTAAGGACAATGCTCCTCAATGTACAATTGCAAGGAATTTAGGGATTTTATCATCTACAGTCCATGACATTAACTATAGGTTCAGAGAATCTGGAGAAATCACTGCATGTTCAAAACACCATCGGTCAGTACTTCCACACAATTTCAAAAGGAAACTGCATCCATCCATCCATTTTCTGACCCGCTTATCCTCACGAGGGTCGCAGGGCGTGCTGGAGCCTATCCCAGCTGTCTTCGGGCAGTAGGCAGGGGACACCCTGAACTGGTTGCCAGTCAAGTGCAGGGCACACATAGACGAACGACCATTCGCACACATACACACTCACACCTAGGGACTATTTCAAGTGTTCCATTAACCTGCCATGCATCTTTTTGGAATGTGAAAGCAAACCGTACTACCCGGAGAAAACCCACGCAGGCACAGGGAAAACATGCAAACTCAACACAGGAAGGCCGGACCCGGAATCGAACCCAGTACCTCTGCACTCTGAGTCCGACGCGCAAACCAGTCTTCCACCGTACTGCAAGGGAAACTGCACTTTCTATTTTCTTCAAATTGCTCCTAATTCCACACGATTAAAAATTAAGACAATTCTGTTGGGAATTTTTAGTTCCTCCACAAAGTCCAACGTAAACAAACACACAAATATCAGGCTTGTATTTGTTGCTGAAAATGTTTGCAACATAAACTAATAATGTCAGTAACCTGAAAAATTGTCTTCATACTGTACAGCGCACCTCTCAATTGATTTAGAAACCATCGATTGTACAGAATCATGTCAGGATATTGAAGTTAGACAAACAATCCAATACTAATTCTGTGGCACTGCTCACAGAAAATCACTTTCACACCAACTGTGACAAAACATCTCATTTCAGGGGATGAAGTTTTGCAGTGGAATGGGAAACTGTTACCAGGAGCCACCATGAAGGAAGTTTACAACATCATCCTGGAATCTCAAGCGGAGCCCCAAGTCGAGCTGGTTGTATCCCGGCCTATTGGGTATAAGTTTTACGTTTCTTACGAAATGTATTTTTAAAGACAACTCATGTGATCTAATGTTGTAGACACAAGTCAGACATAATTACCCACTGGGCATTTCTTTCAATCCACTTGACTGTAACGCGACAAAAACAATCCACCTTTACAAAGGCAACAATGATTGATCAATTGTTTAACTGATCGTTTGCTCGCCTCTTGTCTTTGTCAAGACACAAGCTTGAATAGTTCATGTGTTCTCATTAGATTGTGCTAGTATAGGCTGTTTCCAGTCTGCAAACAAAACATATATCCTGTTCATTCAACATCACCCATTCGGTTCAATAAACCCCCCAAACTATTATTTTTCTATGATACTGTAAATCCAAGTAAAAAGCGATCATTTCACATCTTACTAATCTGGTTACTAAATTTACTATTTATTGTATGTCTGTGTTTATTTGGGTAAGACGTTTTAGTAATCAATAAATTCAAAAACTTTTGAAATTCTGAAGTTGAAAATCGTCACCTTTTCAAAATATTGGCCATAGTCGTTATTTTCGCCGTAAACATCTCCTCAGGATGCTGGCCACCTCGGCTACATACATACATACAACAGATCATGCAATTCTACCCTCTAAATGAATATGATCAGCATTTGGTTCAGTTTTCAGGTTTTCTGAAAAACTGAATAAAAATTATTTCGGCCAGTATTTTTGGAAGGTGACAACATTTATGGTTAACGATAACAACAACTCCTTTGATAGCAGTCATGCAAATTATTTTCAGCATTGTTGGTATTGTTTTTATTGATAACGTTGACATACATATTTGCTTTGTTTTGGAACACAAGTTGAATGTATTAATTTCTCTCCAAACACTCACAAAGGGTGTATAGAAAATATCAGTAAGTAATCTTACCTTTTTATTAGGACCTTTTTATCCCTCATTCCTATGGAAAAAAAAAATAAGTGTCATATTGCTGGTGACATTTTGCAACCCGAGAAGAGGAGATCATTCCTTTAGATGGGCATGTGCGCAAATTGACTTCGTTGAAAATCGCTGCAATTGTTCATCTGGTCATACTTTCAAACTCAAAGGGCTGCAAAATGGGAGTTGTCTCTGAAAGTACTATTTGTTTTCCAAAAGCCAAATAAGCCAGCAGTTCAAGAAGAAATTATTTGATGCTTATAATGCCCCAAATGTTGCTAACCCTGCTGTTTTGAATTTTGGCTGCTGGAATTGCTGAAGCACGATTTGAGTTTATTTTAATGACGCTTGCTTTACTTCTTGGATCTGTATGTGTGTTTTGTAATTAGTCTTATTATTAGTATGACCAATTTTTTCTTATGAGCAGTTGTATTAGTAGAGGTAGTATTCACTACATATGCTGTAGGTACCGTATTTAGTTTCCATCACACACCAGAGATCAATATATCCAAAAATATATATACCAATTATAACTACAACAATGCCACAGTTCATGCATTAAAGAATCCTAGACTTGTTTATCAGGTACAAACTGTAGCAAACAAACTTATGAAAAATAGGACCAACTCATATGTATGGATCCTCACATCACCGTTCTTTGGTAAGATGGGGTATGAATTTTTTGCTTTTTTTTTTAGGCTGATGCTGTAACGTCATTTAGTGATGACTGGAACATATGAGACACCGTGTTCATTTATGAAATGTCCCCATTCCATCATTATTTGCTTTGCCATGTTTTGTAACCGTGATATTTTTTAGCTTGAACATCTGCTGTAGATAACTACTTTGAATACTTTCTGAATCACGCATGCAAGCCCGCGCATCTCCCAACCCCCCCACCCCCCAAAAAAAAATCTCGACTAGCTTTACTGCATTCAACCATACCAGTTGCAAACATGAAAACGACTCATGCATTTTGCTTTTTCTTTTTCAGTGATATCCCAAGAATCCCAGACACCTCCCACCCTCCATTAGAATCCAGTAGGTATCTCTTATGTGTTCCAGTACAATCTCCAAAGTTCAAGCCAATCCCATTCTGTGATTCTTGTCAATGTTTAATTGGCTTTGGCTCTCACCTGTGAAACCTGCATTTGCTGTTATACAAACATAAACATCAGAGAGCTGTCTATGGGAGGAAACTCAACCATTTTTGAAGCTGAGAGAAGTGGGAAACACAATCGCAATACGCTATTATAAATATAAACATTGGGCATAGCCAATACAACAATTTGGAATATCTTGAAAAAGAAACAACGAGAGTGTCGAGCGACAGGCACTGAATAGGTCGGCCAAGGGTATCAAGAGCAGTTGATGACAGAGCTGTGAAGAAACACCAAATGACAGCAGCACAGTGACACTGAAGACTTGAAATTGTCCTTCCTCAGGTGTGAATGGATATTTGTTGATATTGACTGGCCACCGGTCCAGGGTGTATCCCACCTCGCACCTAAAGTCAGCTGAGATAGGCTCCTAGCGAGGATAAGAGGTATAGAAAATAGATGAAAGGATGTACATGTACCGCGCATCTTAATGTTCCTCTTCTTCATCACTGTTGTGTGATGTCACGAATGATGTAAATAAGTACTGTTTGTGGTTAGAAAATGGTAAGGTGCACTTTTTGTTTGCATGTAAGGGTACAAATAAAGGCTTCGGTCATTTAGAAATGGCTATCAAAATACTCCACGATTTTATGGAATGCAGTTTAAAGAAATAAACAGTATAAGTAATCATTTCGACTGGGTATGACCATTTTCTGGCACTTTGTGCACTTTAAACCAATTGACAACTATGCTTGTCAAGAAAAAAAGTTGTTTCTTGAATTTTGTACTTTTCGGCTACTCTTCCGTTCCCACGATACAATTCAGAACATCAGAAAGTTGTGAATTATTATCGTTTAAGTGTGTTTATGTGACCAACAATTTGGTGAGTGTGTGTCTTAATTAACACTTCACCTTCTTTTGTATGTTGACAGCGTGGTTATTATCTTGATGTTCTTCTCTAATAGAGGTGAACAGGGGCAAGTGCCACTAAATGATATCAACGATGTAATTACAGCTTCAAATGATCATGTGTTGTAGTGTAACCACATTTGATAATATCTGGTCCTGACAGGATACTTTGTAGACAAATTTGTACCCCGAGGTACTGGACAGGTTTGCTCAAAGAGGGTACAAGTAGCCCCAGCTTTGTGCCTCATGTTACATACAGTACAGTATTTGACTACAAACAGTACAAATGGTCAGGGTCCCAATATTTACCTTGTTTAAAGGGTACAGTAAGTGTTACCCTTGACAATCCATTCAACTCTTAATGGTACAACTTTAGCAGTGTTTTTCTGACAATGTAGGTGATTATAATTCGTGATTATAATTATCTCCGCAACCAAGTCGTGAAAAACTGATCCATTGCAGCATCTTTTTCTGTCAGTAAAAAGAGCTTATGAAAAAAAAAGAAAATAACAAAAACAAAGAAAAACTACTCCCAAGCATTGCAGAACCTATAAAAATCCTACCTTGTTCATGTTTTGTTTTCATTTCTAATAACATAGGCAACTCCTTCGATTCCTCAAATTTGTGAGTGATTTTCTGTTTTTGTTTTTTCTTCTTAGCAGGTTCAAGTTCATTTGAGTCCCAGAAGATGGAGCGACCATCAATAAATCTTTTATCTCCCACCAGTCCGAGAATGATTCTTGACGCGCCACAGCTCATGCCAGGAAAACTTTCTGTGAGTGTGTACGCGCTGTTATTCCACTGTTATCTGTTTCGCATTGTGACGTCTCTGGACCAAACGTGGTTTGGATGTATTCGTCCTGCAGGTAAAGCTCTGGTACGACAAAGCGGGTCACCAACTAATAGTCAATGTGCTTCAAGCGGTGGAGCTCCCTCTTCGGCCGGATGGACGACCCAGAAGCCCATATGTCAAAATGTACTTTCTTCCTGATCGCAGGTACAGCTGTCATACGTTCTTGGTGGTTTTTATATCATGAAGGGGACATTTTCTTAAGTGGTCATAAAAATGATTATGATTATTTTATAAATTATTATTATATTTTGCGGTTACTGTGTCGACCTCACAGTGCAGAGGTGCAGGGTTCGATTCTGTCTCCGGTCTCCCTGTGTGGAGTTTGCATGTTCTCCCCGTGCCTGCTTGGGTTTTCTTCGGGTACTCCGGTTTCCTCCCACATTCCAAAAACATGCATGGCAGGCTGATTGAACACTCATAATTGTCCCTAGGTGTGAGTGTGAGCGTGGATGGTTGTTCGACTTTGTGTGACGTTGTCACGTTGCGAGGTGGTGGTGGACCCGAAAAAACAGGCAAGAGAGAGGAACAGGGTGTATTTGACAAATTGTATTCAAACATAGAGAAAACTAAATCCAAAACAAACAAAGTCTAAAGTATCAAACAAAAAAACCTGACTGAAGCTAGAACATAACAGTGACCAAAACCCGACTGAAACAAACCTGAAAGCAGCAAGCAATGACCCGACCACCAGTGTCGTGCTGGAGTCCTTTTAAAGCAATAATTAGATAACGACCAACAGGTGTGCAGCTGCAGGGAGAGCCCTACAGTGCCACCAGTTGGTCCCAAACAGAATCATGACAGACATGCAATTGGCTGGCAACTGGTTCAGGGTGTTCCCCATCTATTGCCCGAAGGCTCCAGCACCCCCCGCGAGCCTTGTGAGGACAGGGCGGATCAGAAAATGGATGGATGGATGGATGGATTATATTTTGAGCTTTTGCTCCTGTCCTTGGAATTAATTACATAACTAAATACACTGTCCTTATATGTACAGCAGCCCACACCGGCTTTTCATCATCAAGAGTGGCATTTGCTGAACGCCCAAAAAAATCTTCACATTTGTGTTTGGACGTGTTTGAATAGTGATAAGAGTAAACGCAGGACAAAAGCAGTGAAGAAGACCTGCGAGCCCAAGTGGAACCAAACATTCCTCTACACTCACATCCATCGTAGGGATTTCCGCAACCACATGTTGGAGCTGACTCTATGGGACCAGCCCAGATCACCAGAGGAGGATAGCATCTTTATGGGAGAAGTAATACACCCACACCCACACATACACACACGTACACACACATACACTGCGCTCTGCACATTTTTGAAGTCAACATATAAGAATTACATGGACAGCAATTCCTGAAGTAAAATCACAGACTCACTGTTTTAAAACGAACCATTAGTTATTTGCAATGAAAACGTTGAATTGGCAGATCCTGATAGAGCTGGAGACAGCCTTGCTGGACGACAAGCCACACTGGTATCCCCTCCAAACGCATGATGTCTCATCTATACCGCTCCCCCGCCCTTCCCCGTATCTGCCTCGTCGACACATACACACAGACAACCCGAGCAGGAAGCTGCAGCGTAAGTATTGCATGTCTGTGTCTCTACTTGTACTAAATTATTGGTGTTTGTTTTTTTAGCTCTGTCATGTTCTCTGTGTGTTTGTGTGCCCTGGGAAATACTTTTTTTTTTTTTTTGTTTTGCCAATCATAGACTTTGTATAATGTGTACTGCTTTTACTTCCCTCCCCTAATACTTGATATGGACTGGAATGTGTGCATGCATGTGTGTGTGTGCGGCGCTCGCGCACAAGAGACTATTTGTGCGCGCAGATTTGTGTGTGTGTGTGTGTGTGTGTGTGTGTGTGTGTGTGTGTGTGTGTGCGCACGCATGTGTGCACTTGTGTTGTGCGCGTGTGTTTGTGTGTGTATGCCTGTGTGTATGTAGGTTCTCAGCGTCTAACAGAGCCTGAATTTGAGGGTACAGCAGTAGTTTCTAAAGGTGGGTGGGGATTGTTTTTGTACTACGCAATGCTTCCAATGTTTCTTTTTGTGTAGTGTTTTTGTATGTTTGTAAACGGAGTGAAATTTCCCAAAAAATTAACATTGAACCTCACATTCGCTCAACAAGTAACCATCTAACACTTTCACCCGGGTGGTGTCAAAAGTACAATGTTGTAGACTGTATGTTGATACGGAGGTGACTGCTGCCTGGGATTGTGGTATCGCTTGTTCATCCATCAATTATCTGAACCGTAGTATATTTGATATTTGACTGAAAATCAAAAGCAAACAAGGAAAAAAATGTTAAAATGTTATTTAGCCCCCTCAAAATGAGGGATTCTGAATAAAATGGCTGTAATGTTGAAATGGTAACTGCCATACACTGCATTTAAGAAACCTTCAAAATGAGTCTCCACTTGAGTCGCATAATCACTGTTTCATATCCACCCCGCTGCGGTGGTGTATGTTGCCTAGCCTGCCTTGAGAGCGAGAAGGCTAACTGGATATTTCCTGATGACTTAACGCGTGGTGAAATGCTGCAGCAAAACAAGGAAAGATACACGTTGAGCTGCTGTTATCATCTGAGAAGGAAAGTTTATAATTCATCATGGTTTTACACACGGAAGCACAGTCGTGGGTGTAAGTTGGTCTCCACTTGCCCACATTACATACGCTGCCAACTACATCATCCACAATGGGAGATCTTGCAGTTTACCCACCAGTGTCATGGACCTCAGCGTTTCTGTTTCTGTTTCCGATGTGTCAAATTCGGCGTACACTTGGACCGCCCTGATATGAATGCGCCGTTACGTCCAATTCTACAGCGTGCAAAATCGTCTAGCAAAATAACAAAAAGAAAACACCACGCATGTGCGCGGTGAGACAGTGCTTTGTGCTACGCTTGCACTGGGAACAATAATAGGGCCCTTTCAGTTTCAGTCATGTTTTCTGAAACATGGCCCTAACCTGAGTTATAAAAATACATTTAGTGTATTAACCTTAAATTTAACACCCACAAAACCTCTCTGTAAGGTTGCTTTATAAACAATTTTTACATTAAATAAAGTCTGAGAAACACAAGTGAATTATCGTTTTAATCCTTATGAAACCACATGAAACGCATTATTAACATTTACTGTATTTTTGTTTTTTTCATCCTTTTGTTTGAATCATTTGTCCAAAATAATTGCATTTATTTATTAAAGAAAAACACTTAATCTGTACCCTTTCCCCAACAACAATCTCACACAACAATGTTCTACTCCTTTTACAATGCCTTCACCCACTCCAGCTTTCTACAAACACATTTTTAGCTTTGATTACAAAGGATTTACTTGAAAACGTTACTGGTCGTGGCATTAAAACTTAATATCTGTGACAATCACTGACCAGCAAATAAACATGCATGAGAAAATCTAAAAGTGTAAATTAATTGAATTCAACAAACGGTTCAGTAGTTTCTCTGTTTCTGATGATTATTTTCTTGAGACTCTTTCACTCCTCCACGTGCCAAAACTGTTCGCATTAGCATGGTTAGCATTCAAACTTCAACTCATGTTTACACACTTTTGCCTGAAAACGTTATTCAACCACTTTTGCAAACATAAAGTGCTAAGGTTTTAAAATTGGTAAAGGCTGCTTTTCATGACTTTTTAGTGCATTTTACGAACCTGGGGCGAGAATAAGACACAAGATGAAAGTTTATTCTTCTTCTGTGCTCAAGGCGCTACTGTAACCAGCAGCACCACGACGCCTCGTAGTCGATGCTAAACTGCTGATAAACCACAGAACTAAAAACACACATGAATTACAGTGAAACTCCTCTAGAACGAAACCTGCATGGGCGAAAATACCCCCTTATGTGAAAAAATCTTCATGCATTAACACAATTCCCATTCTCCTGCCCCCCATACGACGAAAAACCCCCTGTTGCGTTATACGAAATCATTTTGTCTGCTCCAGCCTCGCGAAGACATTCACTACAACGAAGTCTTATCCAACAGCGACCTCTACTGCTTCGTTCGAAAAAAGGCAACAGCAACCACCACACTGGTTTACATAGTGAACGATGTTTATTTCGGTCACAGCTGCGAGTTTCCTGGGCTCAACATACTCATAGCTGCTCTGCTATTGGCTTACCGAGCATCATCCTGGCCTCCGATTGGCCAAGAGGCCACATAGACCTCACTGTCTATGTGTGTAGATACTGAAGCTAGATCCGTAGCATCCGATTAGCTGCTCAGAGTAAATTGCT